CCTGGTGTGAGTTTTAAGCCACCGGGTCCGGGACGCGAACCGCAGTCAACTACATGGGAGTCCAGCGACATAGCTATTACGCTAACTGCTGGTTCCCCCACGGTCATCTTTTCCAAAACGAGTCATAACTGCATTCTTACAAGCCCCTGTTTTCTGCATCAGCAGTTATCCAAAGAAGAGATTTGAGAGTTCACAAGAAGCCCACTTAGGCTTTCAGGGTTACCAGTCAGATTGGGAGGCTGCTCAAGGCCTAGACCGTGCAGGCTGGATGCCCTCCCAGAACATTTCTTGTCACAGCTCTGGCTCCTATAAAAGCCAACCTCCCTGAGGGAGAGCAAGCCCAGGGTTCAGTGCACCTCCACCCCCAGGACGGAGGGACTGCTCCAGGCACTCAGCACCGTACTCTGGGAAGTGACCGGGAATTACCGTTATTTCCGTTCTCATCCACAGCACCGTAGTCCACTCCATTCTCCAGGAGGACTGAGCAGATGGTAGGCAGGTCCTGCTGGGCAGCGAGATGGAGGGCGGTCTGGCGGTGCTTGGTTAATTCATTCACTTTAGCTCCTGCAAGAAGCTGTTGAAGTTGATTACATGAGCAGCCTCTCTGTCACAACCCAGGTCCTGCCTACAGGGCCACGCCTGCCTGTCGGCTGACATGCACAGATGGGCTACCCCCCGGCAAAGCCAGGAGCACCGGGGCCTCCCACAGACTCCTGGTGAGGCTAAACAAGCACAATTTCTGCCAAGGGCAAACCAGCAATTATCTCCCAAAACGCTCAACAGCCACTCCTCATTTCACAGAAATTCCATTTCTAAGACTTTGGTATGCGAGGACTGCCCAGGACTGCACTGAGTCTGTTGCTTCTAACGGTAAAACTCAACAGGAAAAGGCTTTGGGTATACAATGCACAGCACACCCATACAACAGGTAGCCAGATGACACGTACTGTGGATTAACACAATGGGTTTAACAAAAGGCAAGTTAGTCTGGTTCCAGCTGGAGACAGAGGGAGATGTACACACACAAGCACTGCACACAAACGCGCATGCACTTTGAAGGTTTTTTTTATTTTTAGAGGTTTTTGCCGTAGCGCACATGTGCTTACCAGGGGCAAAGAGAGAGAAAGACAGAGAGAGAGGGAAAGTGATAAAGCACCCCCCCACCCGGGGTCGGTAGGTAGGAAGGAATGGCCATCCTGCAGTCCTGTCTCCATTCTCCTCCCGGGATCTTGGGTGTGCACGCACACACGCCTGTTATGATTTTCAAGCCACCAGATCCAGGACTCGAACTGTGGTCCACCATGTGGGAGTCTAGCAAAGTAACCACTACTGCATCTGCTGGTCCCACTTTGAAGATTTTTTTTTTTTTTTTGAGAGGTTTTCGTTATAGGGCACGTACACTCGCCAGAAAGACAGAGAGAGACAGAGAAACAGAAAGTGAGAAATCACCCCCCAGGGGGGATGGTCACACCGCAATCCTTTCTCCTCCATTCTCCTCTCGGGATCTTGGGCATGCACACACATGTGCCCGGCGTGAGTTTAAACTGCCGGGTCCAGGACTTGAACCGTGGTCAACTACGTGGGAGTCCAGCGACATAGCCATTACGCTAACTGCTAGTCCCAAAGATTTTTTTAATACACACATACCAAACTTAAGGACAGCTGGGAGTGAAAGGGAGACAGACTGTGTCTAAGGTGCTCTAAGTCTTTCCACGATGAGCATGTACTATTTTTATATTATTTTTTTTAAATCAAGAACACAAAGAACTACAGAATCAAAGGCAGGAAACACCTTTAAATAATATTAGGTTGTCAGGAAAGTCATGACCTATTTTTCTATGTTTTCTTTTTTAAAAATTTAATTAAATTAAATTAATTAATTTATTTTTAATTTGACCCAGAGAGGGACAGAGCAAGAGAGCAAGAGAGAGGGAGAGAAAAAGTGAGAAAGCAAGCCACCAGTCTGGGATGTAAAATGCGGTCAGCCATGTGGGAGTCCAAGGCCCTTAACCGCCACGCCTCCTGCTGGCCCCTCTATGTTTTTCTATGCAAAAATGTGACACAACTTTCCTGACAACCCAGTAGCTTGTGTATTCATTTCATATCTGAAGACCACTCATCCGCTTTCTGTCAAAGTTCTCAAGAGAGCTGCTGCTAATAGACAGCACCGCGGGGTGTGCAGTCGGAGCCCAGCTGGCCTGCCCAGAGGTCTGCAGCCACCCTTGGTTCCTCAGTGTGTGTGCGCGGGCTCTCCGCTATGGGAGACCTAAACTCCAGTATGCTGCCCTGTTCTGCCGCTGACATCTGAGCCAGCCCCACCAGACCTCTGGGCACCCAATAGAGTCACACACAGACAAGAAACGAGTGGCTATGGGACCCTCCGGACAGGACATATCACGAGGGCACAGACATGGTCACTAGTGCTGTGCTGAGGAGCAGAGCTAGCCCCAGGGTTAGTTAGTGGCAGGGTGGACAGAGGTGCAAAGGGCGAGTCCCACCATTACCTGCACTGGGGGGAGCACATGGACCCGGGACAAGGGGCTCTTTCTGGACACTCCCCTCAGCTGTGAGCTCCAGCCTCAGAAGGCAGGACCAGACCTTGGTGAAGGATTCGGAGCCTCACCAGCCTGTCAGGTGGCCTGGTTTCCTACTACTGCAGGTCCCACCTCTGTCTTCTTGGCTGCTCCCCTGCAGCCAGTCTGTGCCCAATGCCATCAGGTCCACGTGCTCAGTCACTCTGCAGTCTGTCCCTCACTGCGGCTGACACCCTTAACTCATCCCAAAGCATCTTCTTTAAACGCTCTTTCCAGTCAAACATCAAGTCAAAAAAGCTTTTCTACAATGTGTTTCTCAGTAACAAACGCCAGGACAGGTCGGCTTCAAGCTGGGTGGTTATGGGCACTGGATCCTCTAGGGCTGACCACACGAGGCCCAGACCCAGCAGCTTGAAAAACATTCCAGGTGTGTGTGCGCCTCTGTGCCCAAACTCTCCGAAGGAGGAAGAAACACAGAAGGGACTTAGGTGTGACGACACCCATGGGGAGAGGGGGCATGGTTTCTTCTCCCCTCCTCTCTCTGGCAAAATTTGAAAAACAGCAAAACACCAGGGCAGCAGAGGGTGGGCAAGCGCCTTGGTGGCGAGTTCTGCAGCACATGCCTGGGCGTGCGGGGAAGCCCCGGGATAAGCCACTCTGCGGAGCAGCGGGTGATAAGGAACTTGCTTGCTCTGGCTTGCTGGCCCATGCTCTCTCTCAGAACAAACAGCAGCTCCTCCACTGCCTACAGGGAAAAGACTCCTCCGAGTTCTTGGTCTGAAATCGGACACCCCACAATTTGCTCTCTGCCGGCCTCTCTAACCACAGCTCCTTCACTTCTCTACTCGAATTTCAACTACAGTTGCCTAAGTAAGTCCCACGTGCACTTTCCAGTCCCCACAGCTTTGCTCAGGCCCGCCCCCTGCAGGTGGTGTGATGTCACTACACTAAAAAGGAAGCTTTGGAGTCAAATACAAATGCTTGAAATCCTAGTACACTACTAGCTCACAGCCTTGGAGAAAAAAATCTCTGAGTCTAAATTTTCTTCTTCATAAAATATAAAAAATTTCTTACACCTCTATGCAGTTTTGAGACAACTCGTTTGAAAATCCCAGTTACAGAAGGGGCTGACTACAGAAGAGGATCTCCACTCTGTGCTCAGACCGTGCCTCTACCATCTAAACCCTGCCTTCCCTCCACGCCCTGCTGCAGCATCGGCCTGCCCTGCGGCCCCTCAAAGCCCATTTTCCCGCATGTACTGGCCTAGCTCCCAAATCCACGCTGGCCTTTGGCAGCTGGCCGAACACCTGCGATGGGAGGTCTGCACACACCCCACGATGTGCCCCGTCCTCATGCAACGTTCCCGCATCACTTACCAAATTACGGACAATAATCTCTGAGCCCGCCTGGACGGCAAGGTGCAAAGGGGTCAACTTGGAAGCATCCTGGACTCTGGAATTCACGTTAGCTTGAACGCTGATCAAGAACAGGACACTTTCAATATCAGAGTTCTGAACTGCCACATGAAGAAAATTCCGGCCCTTGTTATCCACCTAAAGCAACAAGTGGGGACCAAAATGTTTTAGGAGTGTCTCCTGAGTGCCTGCAAGTTACGCTGACTGCTAGAATGGTCAGGGCGTAGTCTTTTCCTTGGTTCCAGGAAGTTCCCTCCCAAGAACCAACATTAATTGCCACCGCTCCAGCCCCACAATTTGTGCACGGTCACATCCAGGTGCTCGGGGAAGGGGACCACTGCACTGAGCAAGCTGCCCAGGCACCCTCCTGCAGGAGGAGCCGGATGTGGAAAGCCAAGGAAGGGGCAACCTTCAGGAGGGACAGGATGCTCAGGGAGAGTCAAAGGTGGAGACTGGCCTTGGAAGTCTCTTTGCTCAGGCTAAAACAAGCACCCAGCATCCTAACAGCACAGCTGCAGAGCCAGCCTCCCTCCCTGAGCAGAAACAGAAGCTTGAGAAATGTTCAGCAAGCGTCCTCTTTCACTGGATAACACACGATGGGAGAAGACCCACCCGCCAGCAGCATGTCAGACCGGGCTCCACTGAGATGAAGCGGACAGAGGCTTACTCAAATCAAAGCACACAGCGGGCTGTAGTTACAAAAGCTGTCATAGCCTGAGTGCTCAGGTGGTGACGAGGAGACACCACACGCCACACACGCAGGCAGAGCATGTGCAGAGGACGCTGCTCGGCAGTGCCAGCTTCAACCTAGGTGGAGAGGCATGTGAGGAGACGCTCTCTCGTCATGACCCTTTGATGCCATCTGAGCAGGTGTGAGGCTGACACCTACACAATCCACCGCACTAACGAAAACGCTGAAGAAGGTGAGGTAGCTCCGAAATACTGAGCAACGATCTTCAACCGTGCTAAGATTTCACTTCATTCAGGTCCCAAGTTTCCATTTCTTCTTCTGAGTGGCTCACTGTAAGTCCTGGCAGTGCTCTAAGTGCTGGCTGGAGAGGCAAGTTTCTGGAGGACTAACGTGACAAACCTCCTTAGCTCCCTCCCAGCTTCCATCATCAGGTGGTGCTATGGTCTCCCACCCAATCTGGCTCGCAGATCAGCGGTTTCCCGCCCAGATTCAGCAGCTGCACAGGGTCAACCTCAAGGGCCACTGAGCTGCTAGGGTGAATACTGACTCCTCTAAAACACTCAACGTTGCTCTAACACCACAACACGAGCTTTCCAAGTTCAGTTTAAAGCATTCTAAGACATTCGTAAGTAGGGGACTGAAACAACCAAGCAAAAGCAAAGAATGTGCTCCACTGCATATGCTGGCGAATTCCTATCCCGAGCCCCACAGCCCTGACTTCTAAGTGTGGCATCGTTACGTGGCTGGCACACGGGCCAGCACAGTGGGCCCAGCACGAACGGTCAAGTCTCACCCAGCACTGCCAGGACAGCTGAGTGGCCTAATTTTCAGAAAGGAGCATAACTTCAATGTCTTTACAGAGAAGGGCCTGAATAGCTGGTGACACTCGTTTGGTCTCCATGACGTACATTCTGCCATACTTGGGGCAGCGTAGAGGGTGTGGGGTGCCGGCACTCACCTGCTCAGCGGCCCCGGCCTCTCGTTTGAGAATGGACTCAGCTGCCTTGTTGTTCTTGTAGGTCATGGCACAAGCAAACGGGGTCAGCCCTTGTCTGTCGCGAACATTCAGGTGGATATCGGGGTGGGAGATCAACAGCTGAATGATGACGCCATGTTGGTTGCTGATGGCTACGTGGACAGGCGTTCTTCCTTCTGCATCCTACAGGCGCAGTGCACAGGTCTTAACAGCCACGTGAAAGATAAAGCTCAGGGAAAATGGGAAGGGGGATATCTTCTCAATCAAATTGTGGTTATGAGAACCAATACTACCACTCCACGCTTTCAAAGAAGCCTAACAGAAATGAGTGAGAGCCAGTCTGTGTCACACCGGGCTCCAGTGACTCAGTGGTGACAGTAAGCCCAGCACAAACACACTCGTGTTACAAGATGTGCAGTCCGCTCGGCTCGACATCGTGTTACTCCGTATGAGTACAGGCATCCTGTATAAACCTTCAGGAACCAGAACCCTGAAAAGCACCCAGGGACATAACTCGGTGATGGTGACTTGAGCTGCTAAAACATTTCCCTAAACACAGTAGTTGGTTTGGATCAGAACCAAACTCTCAATGGGATTTTATCACTAAGGGGGAACAGAAGGTAAAGAAAAATGGAACGAGTCTTCCTCGTGCTATAGTAAGGACAGAGGCACAGAGAAGGGAAGTCTGAACCTGGAATCATTATATTTGTAATGACTCTGAGAAAGTCTCTTCGCCATATCATCGTCCGTTACAGTACAGCGGAAGCCGGGGCTGAGGGATGTACCAGGTCCCTGCCAGAAGAGGAGGTTTCCCTCGTTTTGGAGCTACCACCTCCCCGGGAAAGAGAAACGCCATACCTGTGCATTCACGTTGGCACCAAACTCCAGGAGACACTGAGCCGTCTCCTCCAGCCCCCAGGAGGCCGCCAAATGCAAGGGCGTCTGCCCGTCTCTGGCCTCCTCCTCTCCTTCGCCGTTAGCACCCGGCTGTCTGGGACTGTTCACGTCACAGCCACTGGAAGGAATGGAAAGTACAGGCAGGTCATGCTTCCGCCTAGCCCAAGGCCACGCTGGTAAATGCACGGCAGCAGCCTCACCAACCCGACAAAAAAGCTGCTGCTGCCAGGGCCTGCTGGTCTTGGTCCTTGGCCTCAAATACTGGGGTCTGGGTCCTGCCCTACAGGATGCTGCAGTTGGTTCCAGGGGCCACTTGGGCAGAGACGTGTAAAAGCTCCCCAGGGCTCTGCACACATTTAAAGTTTGAGAACCACCGCTCTAAAGGTTTGCTAGTAACACTGCCTCCCACATATCCCACACCATGAGGGGCCCGTGGAGCCTGTGAACGCTCCTGCATCTGTGGAGTCCTGCAGAGGCCATGTGGTCTCCTCTGCCCAGCCTCCCAGCTTTAGTGGAAGCAGTCTGACATGACTACAGGAGCCCACAGGGCTCCCGAGCAGAGCACTGGCTCAGCGTTTAGTCTTAGATCCAGGCATGGGAGGTCCTCTCCTTTCAAGTAAGCCTTGCCTTGGCTGACAGAACGGTGACCTCTGATCATTAATCAGGAAAGCCAAGTCAGATACAAGCATGCCAAGACCGCAGGTGGGTTAAAATAAGAGAAGAGCCAGTTTGCAATAAGCTGAACAAGAAGATTTCAAGAGATACTTGGCCCTCCCAGACCTGCGAATCAGAAAGCAGGCAGTGGACTCGTTGTTTTCATCGATAGCTCTGTGAAGGAGTGTCTGAAGGCATCCGCTAGGTCCTGGACCCCAGCACGTGGCATCGCAACCATGTCTGACCTGCGGGAGAGCACAGATTACTCACAAACACTGCCAGGCAAAGCCAGAGCTTCACTGCCATGTCTGAGCTCTATGTGAGCTGCTAATCTGGGTCATACAGAAGAGGGCTGGGGGACCTGCAGATAGCATAATGGTTCTATCACTGGTCTCCCACGTAGTCGACTGTGGTTCGAGTCCCAGACCTGGCGACTTAAAAAAAAAACTCACGCCGGGCACGTATGCGTGCATGCCCAAGATCCCAAGAGGAGAATGGAGGAGAAGGGACTGCAGCGTGGCCATCCCCCCTGGGGGGTGATTTCTCACTTTCTGTCTCTGTCTCTCCGGCAAGCACACATGCCTCATTGCAAAAATCTCTTTCTCTCTCTCAAAAAAAAAAAAGAAAGAAAAGAAGAGGAGGAGGTCTGGGAATAAACTGACGGTAACCTTACTCTGAGCCACTCATCGGCTACAACATCGGTTAACATCTGCCCTGTGCACGTTCTGCACTAGGTCCTGCGGATGGGCTTTGGAACTGTGATTTATGTGCAGTCAGCGCCCTCTAGAGCTGTGTCCTAGAAGGGCAGGAAACACAAGTGCCTACAGAAGTGTGAGCCACTGGTAACATAACCGTAAAGCTAAGCGATGCCAATCACAACTGGGTGAAACCTTCAGGTGAACGATGCCTGGATGGCACAGTGCAGGCCTTTCAGACAGCTAAGCCAGCGTGCCCAGCTTTACAAAACATCGGTTAATATCTGCCCTGTGCACGTTCTGCACTAGGTCCTGCGGATGGGCTTTGGAACTGTGATTTATGTGCAGTCAGCGCCCTCTAGAGCTGTGTCCTAGAAGGGCAGGAAACACAAGTGCCTACAGAAGTGTGAGCCACTGGTAACATAACCGTAAAGCTAAGCGATGCCAATCACAACTGGGTGAAACCTTCAGGTGAACGATGCCTGGATGGCACAGTGCAGGCCTTTCAGACAGCTAAGCCAGCGTGCCCAGCTTTACAACTTTTGGGGCCTATCTTGGGCACAAGAGAGACAAACCTTGGAAGGTTCAGGAAATGACCACTGTGGTGATGATGAGGGTGGCCCACATCAAATTAACCCATCCCAGGAGGAGGCTCCCAAGGGAATGCCTCCACTTGCTTGTTTCTTTGTAGTTTTCTTGGTAAAAAGAAAAGTGTTGGCTGAGACCACGTTGTACTGAAAGTTCCTTTAATATACCTTTCAACTGCTTAGCTCTTTGTTCTTCAAGCTTATTCATGTGTTTCTTCCCAGAAAGAAAGAAAGACACAAAGGGACACCAGGCATTCCCAACGGGGTCCACTCCCAGTCTCGCCAGCCAGGACCACAGCACGCACGTGCACGCTAGGGGGCACAGGGAGGCCTCAGAGCACCAACCTCCCAGGGGGGTCCGGTCTCAGTGTTTCGTTAGTGCTGTGCCACCACTGGTCCCAGCTGCGTGTCCTCAACCCCCAGTCCATCCTCGGCAGATCTTCTCTGGGGACTGCTGTGTAGGCATCAACTCCCTCTCTGACATGGAAGCTGTGCTCCCGCCCCCCGGGGACAGGCTAATGCTGAGCTATCTCACCAGAGTGGATGCAATGTCCTCCAGGTTATTGGCCAAAGCCAGCCACAGCGGGGGGTTCCCCTTCTCATCTGGCACAGACATGTCCGCCCCGCGGGTGCAGATGGCATCGACCACCAGTGGAAGCTGATTTCTGATGGCCAGCTGAAGGGCCGTCTCTCCATCCTGAGTCCTGCTAGGACAAATACACCAAAAACAAAACCAACATTTGTAACTGGAGCCGAAGGATGAAGGGGGTCCTCTCGGGCATTCCAGAGCCTAGAATCCACCATGTCTCTTAAACAAACTTCACTCATATTTGTTAGTATTTTCTCAGGAAGATTAAATCTGTCACTAATGTCTGTCCCTTCTGCCTTTTTAGAAAATACAGCTATGCCACATGATTATACCCAGAAGAAAACTGAACAACATCCCAATGTGATGAAATCTTAGAGGAACACAGCTGCTATTAATAGGCTCTGAATGAAATGGCACCCTCACTACCCACTTGACAAAACACTTTTCCCCCCACTCAGTCATTCAGGGTCACTTGACACTGGTGATAAAGATCAGTTTCTTTGAAAATACAACCACAATTGGGACCAGCAGTTAGCATAATGGCTATATCGCTAGACTCCCATGTAGCTGACTGTGGTTCGAGTCCTGGAGCCGGTGGCTTAAACTCACATCAGGCTCATGTGTGTGCATGCCCAAGATCCTGAGAGGAGAATGGAGGAGAAGGGAATGCGGCATGGCCATCCCCCCAGGGGGGTGATTTCTCACTTTCTGTCTCTCTGTCTCTCTCTGTCTGGCAAGCACACGTGCCCTATAGCTAAAATCTCTCCAAAAAACAAACAACCACAATAAATATGTAACTCTGTGTCTTTTACCCCTCAAATCCATTGGTAGCTCATTTGTTGGGATGTTTTTTATTATAGTTGAAATTCTATTTAAAAATTGATGGTAGGGAACCAGTTAGCGTAATGGCTATGTCGCTGGACTCCCACGTAGTCGACAGCGGTTTGCGTCCCGGACCCAATGGCTTAAACTCACGCCAGGCACGTGTGCGTGCATGCCCAAGATCCCAAGAGGAGAATGGAGGAGAAGGGATTGCGGCGTGACCATCCCCCCTGGGGGTGATTTCTCGCTTTCTATCTCTCTGTCTCTCTCTGTCTGGCGAGCGCACGCGCCCTATAGCGAAAACCTCTCCAAAAAAAAAAAAAATTGATGGTAGATGGTTCTTTTAAAAATTAATTTATATAATTTAATTTGACCAAAGAGAGAGGGGGTCAAGAGAGAGAGGTAAATTAAGAAAGCAAACTGTCCGGTTCAGGACTTGAACCACGGTCAGCCATGTGGGAGTCTCGTGCCTTAACACCCTATCACCTGCTGGGCCCTGTAGATGGTTCTTTATAAAGAGATTTATGTGATACTGCGCACTGGTCCTGGAAGGTTCAAACGAGAACAAAGAACAGTGCCCTTTCCTTCCCACAGCACCAGCCTACTGATTATACTGTCACTGCACTACACTGGTGGACTTTAGAGCCACTTCTTCCCTCCTTTAATTCACAGGGAAGAGAAGTGCTCTCCACAAGCAGGACGATGCGTGTGAACCAGCTCAGTGAGACGTGGTTGGCATCAGGGTGGAGTGTGCGGTTCCCTCTTACCTGACGTTGATATCTGCCTGGTGTTCTAAGAGAAAGAGAGCGCTCTTGCTGTCCTGCCGCTGGATGGCCATGTGCAGCAAGGTCTGCCCGTCGGACATGGTGTCGTTGATGGAGGCCCCGGAGCCCAGCAGCTGGGCTGCGATCGTGTGCATGCCTGGGAGAGAAGCAAGCCCTGATCCGTGCAGGCTCAGTCTGCCCACTGCCTCAGCATCTCTGACGACAATCCTATCCTCTCAGCTTTCCATGAGATATAACCAGCTTAACCCAAGTGGAAAGGCTATTTTATAGCCAAATGACCAGCCCCACTCCCCTCCTTCCCTCTGTGTCTCCTACCCAACCACCTGCCCTCGACAGCTGTCTGTCTGCTGGTCAACAGCCTGGGGCACAGCTTACCAGTCCACAAGGCCAGGCCCAGCACAGTCTGGTCTCGGGAATCCTTGAGACTGAAGTCCGGAATAATTTGCAAGTTGTTGGTGGCATGAAGAGCATTGGCTAGATGTTTTTAAATAGGAAATAACATTTGACGTCACCATCCCACGGATCACATTTGAAGCACTCACGAGTAACAACTGAGTTTCAAACCGAATGACTGGCTATAATACAATCACCACTACACAGACAAACAGAGAAATCTTCTTGTGGGAGTAGAAGTAAAGAAATCTAATAATTTGGGGCAAAGCTTATGGGGAATATTACATTTTTTAAAAGTTTAAAAACACTTGGGGCCAGCCAATGGTTTGGAGGTTAAGGCACTGGACTCCATATGGCTAACTCCCTGTTCAAAGCCCAAGACCCAACACCTTGAGAAACACACCAGGTGTGTACATGCCCAAAATCCCCAAAGGAGGGAGGAATGGAGGAGAGGGGATTGCAGTGTGACCATTCCCCCAGAGGGGAGGTTGCTTTCTCATTTTCCCTCTATCCTGGGCAAGCACATGCACCCTCTGGCAAATTAAAAAACCAATAATTTAAAAAACCCCACTGATGTAGTACCTAAGGAAACAGACTCCACTATGGAAACACACGTTACTGACTTCATTATTATAAGGAAGACTGAAACATGCTCTGCTGATGGCTTCCTAATACCTAATTCCCACAGTCGTAACACTCCTGTGAGGACCAAGAAAAGGGCAAATTCTACTTAAAACTCCTCTTTCCTCCAGTACAATGCTAAAAAGTGCTGACCTTCACAAGGACTGAGTCAAGAACAAAATCAGTTTTAGGACAGGAATAAAAAAGTCAACGGGGCCGGGACCAGCAGTTAGCATAATGGCTATGTCGCTGGACTACCATGTAGTCGACCACAGTTTGAGTCCCAGACCGGGTGGCTTAAACTCATGCTGGGTGCGCGTGTGTGTGTGTGCGTGCCCAAGATCCCGAGGGGAGAATAAAGAAGGGATTGCAGTGTGGCCATTCCCCCGGGGGGTGATTTCTCTCTCTCTCTCTCTGTTTTTCTGGCGAATGCACATGCCCTATAGTAAAAACATCTCCCCCCTCAAAAAAAAAAAAAAAAAACCCCACC